GAGCTTGGTGATAGCTTTTACAATGAAATACAGTTATTGGGAAGACTTGCCCCGTGCATTTTGCTTGGCACCGGCTACGTTGATTTAGTTCTGTTTTGGGATACCCAGCGTAGTTTCAAAATGTCGCCTTCCCCCTTGACTTTTCTTTTTATGCTTCTTTTACCAAGCCTAGCCACTCGGTGTGCTTCATTGCATCAACTCACAGAAAGAAATATAGACAGGCCGCAGTACAAAGATTCCTTCTGACATGGAATAAGATAGGAAAGGGCATTTCCTCTTAACCGACAAGCGCATTTATACTAGCCTATGTCAAAAGAGATCTCCTTAGTATAGCTTGTCTGTATTACTTTTGTAAGTTAGTGCAACGAAGCACAGAGGGACACTTTCATTTTAATTTCCGTTTCACCTATTAAAGCAGAGACTGCACACTTTTTTCTGGTTTTGTTCCTACACTGCGATGCCTTCAAGATGAACTCGCTTTGCTCAAAAGCTAGTCAGAGCAGCCTGGGAGCCTGTGTCCAGCTTCAGAGCTGTCTCTTGTCTTGCCATGTGGCAGAAGTTAGTTGTTAGAATGTACATGGCATAATGTCTCTTCAAGCCAATTTCCCTTGGACTGATTTATAGAGAAATTGAGGGATGGAGTGTAGTTCAGTGTTAGATTATCGGCTTTGCATGCAGAACGTCCCAGGTTCAATGCGAAATGTTGCCTGAAAAGACTTCTGCCATAAACCATGGACAGCTACTGCCAGTCAGTGTAGACGATAATGAGGTAGATGGACCAATGGCCTGACACAGTAAAATCTCTCCCATAACCCATGTCCTGATCTTGTGAATTATCCAGTTCCAATGATCTCAGAAGCAAGTCTTCTATTCCTTCCTGAAAGAAAGGCATTTCCATAAGCAAAACATGTATCTACTGCTATTTTCTTTGCTTGCTATGCATCTGTACACTTCTTAATCTATAGTAACCAATTTTTTAATGGTGCCTGAGATGCAGGAGCAGGTATTCCTCTATGTGTAGATACAATTGAATGAACTGGACCATTTCAAATGACACTGATTTCAAAACTGCAGTGATTTCTTTTTTGGTTTCTTAGAATTCCTGGTCAATGCTGAGTAGGAGGCTCCTGGTTTTAATTTATTTAAAAGAGCTGTACGTAGATGGTGCTTGTTAATGTACGCTGCTTTTCCTTCAAGGAGCGCCAGGCAGCACATATAGTTCTCCTTCACCTTATTTCATCCTCACAACAGCCTTATGCAGTGGATTATACTGAGAGATGTTGATGGCCCCAGCTCACCCAGTGGGCTTCATTGCTAAGTAAAGATTTGACCCTGGGTCTCCCTGATCCTAGTCTTGCACTCTAACTACTACCCCGTAGATAATCATGCATAATAGAATTTCACTGCTTGTGCATGCACTGGAAAGCACCTTGCAAAGTGGAAAAAAAGAACGCCTTCAAGAGGCAAACTTTGCAATAATTCCTGCATGGAAGTACCTTTCTATGCAGAATTTGGGCAACTTGTTTGGATGCTGCTGCATCAAGCTGCAACCATGTGTTTACTGCCCTGCCTCTTATTAGAGTTTGGATAATAATAATAATAATTATTATTTATACTCTGCCCATCTGGCTGGGTTTCCCCAGCCACTCTGGGCAGCTTCCAACACAATATTAAAATACAGTAATGCACCAAACATTAAAAGCTTCCCTAAACATGGCTGCCTTCAGATGTCATGTAAAAGTCTGGTAGTTGTTGTTCTCTTTGACATCTGGTGCCACTACCGAGAAGGCCCTCTGCCTGGTTCCCTGTAACTTGGCTTCTCGCAGTGAGGGAACCGCCAGGAAGCCCTCGGAGCTGGACCTCAGTGTCCAAGTAGAACGAAAAGTGCCTCTCATCATTCTTAGTCACAGATGCATCTGTCTTTGTGTGTCTCCAGCAATTCTTACCAGCAAACAGGAGCGCAGGAATCTGCCAGTTACCTAAGTCAGACCAATTGGTCCATCTAGCTCAGTACTGTCTGCATTGACGGAGGCAGCATCCTTTCCATGGTTAGTAATAGAGGACATTACATGTCCTACCTGGAAATGCAAGGGATTGAACTACTTGCAGGAGAGGCAGATGCTCTACCACTGACTTATAGCCCTTCCCCTTGTTTCTTTGCTCCTCTCTTTTTGGTGACTCTGCTTCCAACTCTGCAAGACCAACCCTCCATCTCCAGCAGATTGTATTGTGTGTTGCCCCGCAAAATGATTAACTTGCACAACTGCAGTAGGGGGCAGCGCTGGTGTAGACTTACCCTGAATGCATCTTGGGTTAGAGGTTGGGAAGGTATTCTGCAGGGTGCATCAGAGGTGAGCCTACGTCCCTGTGTTTGAATGGGGGTACTAACTATGGGTAAAAGGAGCTGCCTGGATAAGTAAAAGGATGGCTCCTGAGTGAAGGGAAAGAAAAAGAGAGCAAAAGGTCACGCAGCGCAGCTTGGCTTAGCATTGTCAAGTCCCATCTGCTTGTATTCTCTCCACAGGGCAGAATACATTGGATTATTGTACATTCAAAGTTCAGCAAACCACTTGCACTTCCCATTGCAAGAGAATGCCTTTTAGGCATTTGGGGCTTGTTAAGACTTTTAAGACTGTCATGCTACAGGGGCTTATACCCTTGGGTGCTTTTACAGATAGAGATGTACCGTTCAGAGCTGTCACAGTGCCCAGCAAATGGAAGGTAAAGATCGGAGACAATATAATTTCTTTTGACTTTATCTCAGGGAAAGTAAAACCATTTGATGATTAGATGTGTGGGACATAGTGCCTTTATGTCTACTTGAGCTAATTTCTTCGGCTTCTTTAAAAGAGCACTGTTCCCCTTTGGCTGCTTTGGAAGAGAAGGTCACTTTTAGAAAACTTTGCCAGAGAAAAGTCGTACACTTAACGGCGCACTGGAGAGAGGTGGTTTTAAGTGGAAAATACTTGCAGCTAACCACAGAGAGCCAACGTGAATTAACTCGGGATTAGAAACATATTTTAAAAAGGCTACATTATTATTAGTCAGTGTAATATGCTGTCAAGCCTTTTCAGCTCAAGTGTGAAACTAGCTGTTTCTTGGAGAGGATAAGAGGAGATACAGGCCTAATTCGCGTGTTACAATAAACCGAAATAGCTTCTAGCGAACCTGCCAATTTCACTCATTTGGCTGTAACGCAGGAGAAGCAAACCATAAGGCTTAGCCTTACGTCTGAACTGGGTTTTGTGGCATATTTCACCCAAATAAACCATCATAGGCAAAGCAGAAAATCTTAGTTACAGATCTTAGTTCGTTTGGAGTGAAATAGGCCATAACCCCCAGGTTAGACAGAATGCAGTGACAGGGATAAAAGTTTGTTCCACGCCAGCAAGGAGGAGCAAAGCATACATGATTGGCTTTTTCATGGTAAATTATTAAATATTGGTTTACTGGGAAGTGCAGACTGGGCCATAGACTGCAAAATGGAGCCGTTTTTATTTATTCTGCTAAATAGATAAAGTCTACTGTGGGATGGGCAAGGTTTACTCTGAGAAAGATTTATTCTGAGATCCTATCAGGCATCATTTTAGTCAGGATATGTAATAGACTACCTCCCTGACGACAGACCAAACCCATCATGGTGATCATTATAGGAGAACCATGGCTAGCAGATTGCCACCTAGGAATCTCACAGAGATGAGCCTTTTGGGTTTCAGGATATACCTTTGAGAATATGCTCCCAAAAGAGATTTAGGAAGCATCATTTGTTGAACGTTTTAAACATCTCTTAAAAACCCATTTGGTTAGTCATATGGTTGCACTGATGTTTAGAAGAGTTATCCTGCACAGGTGGTGTTTATATATATCAACTTGCATTATATTTGTAATATTTTGTGATCTGTGTAAGCTGCTTGGAGATTTTGCTAAAAATGCTGTGTGGTATATAAATTATCTAAATAAATAATGCTAGTTTGGACTCAAAGCACTATGAATAGAATTTTGTTTGCACAAAATAGCCTTTCACCTTGCTCTTTCAACCCGTTGCACCTTCCAAAACATGTCCCTGAGATTGGAAAGGGCTTCAGGCGTGCTTGTGAAGTGGTGAAAGCAGCTGAAGTTGTGGGTGGGGAGATTCGTAGGAAATCTGTGAACCCTCTCCTTGCATAAGCAGAAATGTTTTCAAGGAGCTCTCTGGATCCAGGCCACTATATTTATTATATAAGCTGCAATGTATTTGAGGGAGTTTTGCATCATCAAAACAAGTGTCCAGTTTCTGCCGTACTAGAAATACATTTCTTTGGCTCTTCATGTAGCATCAGAGGATATAAAGATTCCATGGAATATTACAATATATTCAAGTTAGTTGTGGTACATTTGTATATAACAGGGGAGGCTGATCTGTGGCCTTCTAGAAAGTGCTGGACTACAGCTCCCGTTAGCCTGGCCAACATGGCCAGAGCACAAGAATGATGGGAGCTGTAGTCCAACAACATCTGGAGGACCCCAGGTTACAAAGCTAAGCGAGTGAGGCAAATTTGATAGGGAAGGCTCCCCTCAGACAAATTTAGTGGGGAATAAATGTGAGTCCTGAAGCAAAAACCTGATCCAAGTCTCCCGTTGTGAGAGTAGAAAACAAGACTTTTGAACCAAAATATATTGTGACTAAAATTGCATTGCTTTGGAATTTCTGCATTGTTCTAATGATTCTGTTTGTTTGGCAAGGTCTGTTGGGAAACCACTGAGGTAGCCAAGATGCTGGGAAGAATGAAGGCAGGGTGGGGAAAGGAAAGGAAAGGAGAAAAGTCTGTGTCAGCGTAAAGTTCAGTGGTTTGTCAAAGCTAACTGGTGCCACAAATCCTAGCATTGCACTCAGCCACAAACTGTAGGAACTTGGACAGAATACAGGGAGCATAAGGAAGCTGCCTTATACCAAATTAAACCATTGGTCCGTCTAGCTCAGTATTGCCTACACTGACAGGCAGAGAACTCTCCATACTTATTGGAGATGCCAAGAATTGACCCTGGGATCTTCTGCATGTACAGCAAATGCCCCTCCACTGAGTTTACATCCCCTTCCGGTCTCAAGTGGGTAAATACTAGATGTAGATTGACATTTCTAGGTGAATTTTGCTGTTGGTTTTTGTCTTGGAGCCTTACTGTCTTATTGTTTTTATATGCCTGTGTTATGAGTTTCTCGCCTTGAATTTTTTGCATGTTTGGATGTGGTTACCAATGTTGTTGTTGTTTAGTCGTTTAGTCGTGTCCGACTCTTCGTGACCCCATGGACCAGAGCACGCCAGGCACTTCCACTGCCTCCCGCAGTTTGGTCAAACTCATGCTGGTAGCTTCGAGAACACTATCCCACCATCTTGTCCTCTGTCGTCCCCTTCTCCTTGTGCCCTCCATCTTTCCCAACATCAGGGTCTTTTCCAGGGGTTCTTCTCTTCTCATGAGGTGGCCAAAGTATTGGAGCCTCAGCTTCACGATCTATCCTTCCAGTGAGCACTCAGGGCTCATTTCCTTCAGAATGGATAGGTTTGATCTTCTTGCAGTCCATGGGACTCTCAAGAGTCTCCTCCAGCACCATAATTCAAAAGCATCCATTCTTTGGCGATCAGCCTTCTTTATGGTCCAGCTCTCACTTCCATACATCACTACTGGGAAAACCATAGCTTTAACTATATGGACCTTTGTTGGCAAGGTGATGTCTCTGCTTTTTAAGATGCTGCCTTGGTTTGTCATTGCTTTTCTCCCAAGAAGCAGGCGTCTTTTAATTTCGTGATATGCTGTCACCATCTGCAGTGATCATGGAGCCCAAGAAAGTAAAATCTCTCACTGCCTCCATTTCTTCCTCTTCTATTTAGAACACCATAGTTAAGGAGCAAGGACATTGGATGGCATGATCTAAATCAATAAAATGAAGGCACCAGAGGTAGTCCATTGGGACTGACTGGGCAGAAGGCAGAGAGACCAACAGTAGGTGAAGCCAGAACCAATGACAGGGAGAGCCAACTAATTCTAGTTTTCTCCTCATCCTCCTTGCTGCTGAGTTCTATAAGGGCAACCCTGAAATTAAGGAGAAGGAGACTGAGAGGCAGTGCCGCAGCCTGGGCAGGCAGGTGGGGGCTGGCTAAAGGCAGGGTGACACTGGTGGGGCAGTGCCTCATTTGCCCTAATGGACCACCCTCCAATGGTAGGAGTGGCAAGTGAAACAGTACCACCTGTAAAAGGAAAGTAACTAAGCCTCCTTAAGAGATACTAAATCATGTATAGAAGTAATTTTAAAAGGTTGAACTTGACCCCTAAAATAAATAGTGAGCAGCGCAGATGATGATGATGATGATGATTATATTTTACAAGTAGTTTTCACCTGCTTCACATTTAATGATGTGTGGCGCAATATCCTTTGTTTAAAATGTCCTGAAGTGCTTTTATTACTTTTACAAGCCCCTTCGTGTCTCATATCTCATAAAAAACCCTCAAACAACTGGTATAAATATATATTCCATTGCAATTTACATTTTTATTCCACAAGGAGAGAATACTAGAGATTTCCACGACCATTGGAATACTTCACATTGTAAGCAACTACCTTAGTCTGCAACGTGATTTCATTGAGGCCATGATAGCAGTCTATAAAGCGGAATTCTAGCACACATTTTTCTGTGTTATTTTATCTAGATAACAAACAGTAATCTGACTCAAATCAGTAGTAAAATCAACAATTAGTTGCAAGGCAATCATGGAAAATATTGTGATTAATATTGTTAAATGTTAACGAGGGCAAAAATCATTGGGTGGGGAAACACTAAATTCATCTCAGATTAGTTCAGTACTATCTGTGAAAGGATCTCCTGGATATTTTGGGGGGTGGTGGTGGTGATGGTTTGGATTCCTTTTGTTCTCTGTCTTGCTGGAGTACTGTGTCCAGTCCTGAGCATCACAATTTAAGAAGGATGTTGACAAGCTGGAAGGTGTGCAGAGAAGGATGGCCAAGATGATCAGTTGTCTGGAAACCAAGCCTTATGAGGAACAGTTGAGGGAGCTGGGTATGTTTAGCCTGCAAAAGAGGAGACTGAGAGGAGATAATGATAGCCATCTTCAAATATCTCAAGGGCTGTCACATGGAAGATGGGGCAAGCTTGTTTTCTTCTCCTCTGGGGTGTAGGACTCGAACCAATGGCTTCAAGTTACAAGAAAGGAGATTCCGACTAAACATCAGGAAAAACTTTCTGACAGTAAGAGCTGTTCAGCAGTGGAACAGACTCCCATGAAAGGTGACGGACTCTCCTTCCTTGCAGGTTTTTAAGCAGAGGTTGGATGGCCATCTGTCGTGGATGCTTTAGCTGAAATTCCTGCATTTCAGGGGGTTGGGCTAGATGACTCTTGGAGTCCATTCCAACTCTACAATTCTGTGATTCTCTAACTGTGTTTAGGATTACAGCTATACAGAAAAATGAGATGATATTTTAATTGGCACCGGTAATGCAGGCTTTACTAAAGGAGAGGTTTCTGCATTACAGTTTAGCTTTTAGAAATCGAGTCGCATATTGCCCTGCTTATAATTTGTAGATTTCCTTTCAGAATTGCTTCATTACCAAGCCAAGGTAATTAAAAATGCTAGCTTTAGTTTTAGCTTTTAAGTAGGTTGTACACATTTGTAGAGTCATGTTTCTTGTCCCCACCCCCCGCTATCTTACAAAATATATTTGCTTATTGTATATTTTTTTAAGTATTTCCACATTTTATTCATTTTATTAATTCATTCAATTAGTTATTCTAAATCTCCCTTTTTGTTAACAGAAGACTGTCGTTTTGTTTTTATAAATCATAGCCATGTTGCAGGTTATCAGTTTTATAGTGTCAGAAGTAATCCAGACTCTAATCTTTTCAAAACAAAAACCTGACAACTTTTGCAGAATTGAGTTTTGGATGAGCTACAGCTGTTGAGCAGCTGCTTAAAATAAGTCTCATTTTAACCCCGCCAAGAAGATGTATGAGGAATCAAATTTGTGCCACAAATCCTGCCCTACTGAGAGCAAATTCTCAACACAAAGACTACTGTATATTTTACTGTATCCTTTACTTAGAAGGTGAAATTCAGGTCAACAGGATAGAAATCTCCTGCGGCACAAGAAACCTGAACAATCGATCACTGAGTAAATATTATCGTGGGCAAGCAAAAGCCCCTGAAATCTTACAGATAGGAGGAGAGGGCAGGCTCCATCCCTGTCCTTCATCCTCTTCCCACTTCATCCCTCCTCCACCCATCCTTGAAAATAAGACCACAAAGATTACCAGATTGCAGTTTTTGTATTTATTTTTTTCTAAAGGAGAAGAAATATTTGCTAGCCTGCTAATAAGCTAGTAGTCTGCATTTCCATGCTGGCCATAGAGCAGGGGTAGGCAAACTAAGGCCCGGAGGCCGGATCCGGCCCAATTGCCTTCAAAATCTGGCCCACGGACGGTCCGGGAATCAGTGTGTTTTCACATGAGTTGGATGTGTGCTTTTATTTAAAATGCATCTCTGGGTTATTTGTGGGGTATAGGAATTTGTTCATCCCCACCCCCAAATATAGTCCGGCCCCCCACAAGGTCTGAGGGACAGTGGACTGGCTGAAAATGTTTGCTGACCCCTGCCATAGAGCATGGGAACTTGGGATAGCATTAGCTATCGGGAGTAGGAGATTGGGATTTCTCCCCAAAAAACAGACTGATGGAGGGAGGGTTGGGCTTCCCATTGCCTGAGGCCACCATGGAAATCAAGTGGTCTGCTGGAGAAGGGACAGAGAGTTCTGTTCCTTTTCTGCTAGTCTACTCACTTGCCTGTGTGGAAGTCCTTGTCTGCTGTGGCGACCGGGTAAGTTTAATATGAGGCTGCCTCCGTTCCACCACTTTATACAACAGTTTCCCTCCCCTACCCACACCTGGAGCCATTCTCCTTGCTCTTCCTCCTCTCCCCTCATGGACAACAGTACTCATGCTTACAGTACAGCAGTACCTTGGAAGTCGAACAGAATCCATTCTGGAAGTCCGTTCGACTTACAAAACATTCGGAAACCAAAGCGTGGCTTCTGATTGGCTGCAGGAAGCTCCTGCAGCCAATCAGAAGCCGCGGAAGACCCGTCGGACGTTCGGCTTCCAAAAATAGTTCACAAACCAGAACTGTCACTTCCAGGTTTACGGTGTTCGGGAGCCAAAAGGTTCGAGAACTAAGCTGTTCAAACATTAAATTTCCCCATAGGAATGAATGGCAGACATTTGATTGTGTTGCAGAAAGTAAAGAGGTTTGATTTAATATTTGCATTTCACTTTTCCAACAACAATGTTGCACCCAAAGTGGTTCAAAATAGCATAAAAATGAACAAGCATTACAATTGCCATAGGGATATCAGGACAGAGTATCATATAAATGAGGCGAAAAGCAAACAAATTCATCACACGATTAATACAACTCAATGTAAACTTATAGTGGTTCAAAATGAGAATGCATTTAGACTGACTGTATGACTGCTGTCTTTTGACTGCACTCAGTTTTGCACTTATGAGTGTAATTTTATTGTTGATTTTATGCTCTTCACTGCCTTGGTATTTCTTCCCTCCATTTTGGTGGTATAGAAATAAATAAATGACACCAGGTGTTTCCAGGTGTTGCTACGAACTTAAGTTTTAATTAGAGTCAACCACGTTTACATCATTCTTGTTTCTCATGATTTTATGCATTTTGTTAATTTCCTTCCCAAATGCAGTGCATTCATTTTTGGTTGTTTCTTATGTATTTGTAGTTCTGGTCTTTCTCTCTCTCGGGGGGGGGGGGGCATTGTTAAGTTTGTTATTGTGTTAACATATTTTTGTGTTTTTATACTATAAATTGCCCTGTGATCCTCCGATGAAGGGCGGCATATAAATTTAATTAATAATAATAAAAACAGTAATAATTGATACACATAATAGTTATTTCATATTATCAGGCAGAAATCAGCTTCTTTCAGAAAATAACCTTTTGATTCAGCAATACAAAAACACAGAAAGTTTGGAAGGAGCCAGAGACAAATTTCTACTTTGTTTATTCC